TTTTTTTTTTTTTGGAATCTGCTCTTTTTTAAAAAATCGCAAAAGAGATTGATTGCAATACTAACCTAGAATAATACTGCCTCATTAATTAAAATTTTTTAAATGGGATTATAAGCAACAGCGCTTGTGTGCCGTTGAGTCGGTTCTAACTCATAGGACCCTGTACAGGGTTTTTGAGACTGTAAATCTTGATGGAAGCAGAAAGCCTCATCTTTCTCCCACAGAGCAGCTGGTGGACTTGAACTGCCCACCTTGCAGTTATCAGCCCAACACGTAATCAATCCACTATGCCACCAGGACTCCTTAACTACAGGTATGTTGTTGTTGTTGTTGTTAAGTGTGGGTTTGAACTGCCAACCTTTAGGTTAGCACTTCAGTGCTTACCCTACAGTACCACACAAGGACTCCAACCACAGGTATAGGGTTCAAATTCACAAGACATATTTTTGAGGGGCACAATTCAATCCATAATGTACCATTTAAAATAGTTTCTCAAACTTTCTCAGACCTGTCTTAAAGAAACCTACTTTTGACTGAGTTCTGGCTTTCCTTTTTCTAGAATTTTTCTGGACTATGCTTTATTTAAGGAGCTCTGGTAGCGTAGTGGTTACGAATCGGGCTGCGAACCTTAGGGTCAGCGGTTCGAAACTACCAGCTGCTCCGCGGGAGAAAGATGAGGCTTTCTACTCCCGTAAAGATTTACACCCTCGGAAACCCTGTACAGGGTCGCTATGGGTCGGACCCGACTCGATGGCACTTAACAACAACAACAACAATGCTTTATTTGGAAAACACTAATTGAACCAGATTGGGCTAACTTTTAGGTATCTATTTAACGTTAATGACCTAAATAAAGTTCACCCTCCCCAAGTAAACCAAACCCATTTCCAGTGAGCTGATGCAAACTCATAGTGAGCCTATGAAACACAGTAGAATTGCCTCCTAGGGTTTTCAAGGTTGTGCTCTACAAAAGTACACGATGGATCACAACTTTCTCCAAAAGATCAGCTGGTGGGTTCAGCCTGTCAATCTTTGGATTAGCACATAAGCACAAAACCACAGTGACAATTGTTGTTTATGTGGTTAGGTGCCACTGAGTCGGTACAGACTCATAGCGACACTATGCGCAAAGAACGAAACACTGAGTGGTTCCGTTCCAGCCCCTTAATTGTTGCTACATTTGAGTTCATTGTTGCTGTCTTTGTGCTAATCCATCTCATTGGGGGTCTTCTTCTTTTTCTCTGACTCTCCACTTTACCTAACTTTACCATGATATCCTTCTCCAGTGACTGGTCCCTCCTGATAATATGTCCAAAGTATGAGAGACGAAGTCTGACTATCCTGGCTTCCAAGGAGCATTCTGACCGCACTTCTTCCATGAGACTGGTTTGTTCATTTGTAAACAAAAGAACAATACAAAAGTAGAGTCCCTGGCACTTTCAATATTCTCCGCCCACACCATAACTCAAACATATCAATTCTTCTGCGGTTTTTCATATGCACTGTCCTATATTCACATGCATAAGAGTTTACTGAGAATGCCATGGCTTGGGTCAGGTGCACCTTGGTCCTGAAACTGACATCTTTGTTCTTAAACACTTTAAAGAGGTCTAGTGCAGCAGATTTGCTAAATGCAGTATGTCATATGATTTCTTGAGTGCTGGTTCCATGAGTGTTGATGGTGGATCCAAGCAAAATGAAATCGTTGACAACATCAATTTTTTCTCCATCTATATGGATGTTGTTTATTGATCCAGTGGTGAAGATGTTTGTTTCCGTTACACAGAGGTGCAACCCACACTAAAGGCTATTTTTTGTTTTTTGTTTTTTTTATCTTCATCAGTACATATTTTAAGTTCTGTTCACTTTCAGCAAGTAAGGTTGTATCATCTGCATATCACAGGTTGTTAATAAGTCTTCCTGCAATCCTGATGCCACGTGTTTCTTCATATAACCCAGCTTCTCAGATTATGTGCTCAGCATACAGATTGAATAAATATGGTGAAAGAATACAACTCTGGCACACCTTTCCTAATTTTAAACCATTCGGTGTTCCCTTGTTCTGTTTGAACAACTGCCTCTTGGTTTATGTACAGGTTCCTCACGAGCACAATTAACTGCTCTGGAATATTCATTCTCTGTAGTATTGTCCATAATTTGTCATGATCTGCACAATCAAAAGCCTTTGCACAGGCAATAAAACAGAAGTAAATATCTTTCTGGAATTCTCTGCCGTCATCCAAGATCCATCTGATGTCAGCAATGATATCCCTCCTTCCACATCCTCTTCTGAATCTGTCTTGTACCTCTAGCAGCTATCTGTCAGTATATGGTTGCAGCTGTTTTTGAATTCTCTTCAGAAAAATTTTAGTTGCATGACATATTAATATTGTCTGATGATTTCCACATTCTGTTGGGTCACCTCTCTTTGGAATGTGCACAAATATGGATCTCTTCCAGTCAGTTGGCCAAGTAATTGTCTTTCAAATTTCTTGGCATAGATGAGTGAGTGCCTCCAGTTCTGCATCAGTTTGATGAAAATCTCAATATGTATTCCATCAATTCTTACTGCTTTATTCTTTGTCAATGCCTTTAGAGCACCTCAGACTTAGGTATCATTGGCCCTTGGTCACATGCTACTGCTTGAGATGGTTGAACAACCACCATTTCCTTTTGGTACAGTGATTCTGTGTATTCTCTCCATCTTCTTTTGATGCTTTCTGAATCATTCAATATTTTACCTACAGAATCCTTCAATACTGAATGGCAAGGTTTGAATTTTCTCTTCAGTTCCCTCAGCTAGAGAAATGCTGAACATGTTCTTCCTTTTTGGTTTTCTAAGACCAGGTCTGTGCACATTTCATTATAATATTTGACTTTGTCTTCTTGAGCTGGCCTTTGAAATTTTCTGCTCAGGTCTTTTATCTCCTCGTCTTTCACTTTCTTTAGCATCTCTATAATGGAGAGTACGTTTCAGTTGTCTTTTTTTTGCCTTCATTTTGGTCTTTTCCTTCTTTCTTGTCTTCTTAGTGATCTTTTGCTTTCTTCCTGTGTGATATTCTTGATGCCATCCCAGAACTCTTCTGGTCTTAAGTCTTCAGTGTCTAACGCATCACATCTGTTCTTGAGATGATTTCTAAATGCAAGTAGGTTATGTTCAAGGTCATATTTTCGCTCTTGTGGACATGTTTTAACGTTCTATAGCTTCAGCCTGACCTTGTATGTGAGTAATTGATGGTCTGTTCCACAGTCTGTCCCTGGCCTTGTTTTGGTTGATGATATGGAGCTTTTCCACAGTCTCTTTCCACAGATAGAGTCAGTTTGATTTCTGTGTATTCCATCTGGTGAGGTCCATGTCTATAGTTGTCTTGTATGTTGTTTTAAAAAGGTATTTGCAATGAAGATGTCATTGGTCTTGAAAATTCTATCATGCAATCTCCAACATCATTTCTATCACCAAAGCCATATTTTCCAACTATTTATCCTTCCTCTTTGTTTCCAACCTTTGCGTACCAATTGCTATTAATTATCAATACATCTTGATTCATGTTTGATCAATTTCAGACTGAAGAAGTTGATAGAACTTAAATACCTGTGGCATAGCTTCCAGAATCACAGCAACACACAAGCCACCACTGTACACCAAACTGGCAGACAAGGGGCAGACTGTGACACTGAGGCTCCTCTTTACTTATATTAAAGTTTGATACTTCTTTTTTATTTTGAATCATGGTAATTGTTCTTAGCTTTCAAAATATTACTTTTTAACATTAAAGTGTATATACCTAAATTTTGGTTGAAAAAAACAAACAAACAAACAAAAAAAAAAACGTTGAGACAATCTACTGTCTTAAATCTGTCTCTCTCTCTTTTTTCCTCTCATCAGCCGGTCAAGCTTAAATGCCAAAATGGAAGAGTGTGTTAAACTAAACTGTGAGCAACCTTATGTGACTACAGCAGTAATAAGCATCCCAACACCTCCAGTAACCACACCAGAAGGAGATGACAGGCCGGAGTCTCCTGAATACTCAGGAGGGAATATTGTCCGAGTGTCTGCTTTGTAAGAGAAGTGGAATCTAGTCTAAGAGAATTTAAACCCTGGCTGTGAAAAGAATCCCAATTCGCTAGAAGGAAGAAACAATGAACTTTCCGAAGATGAAAATGGCAAAGCAAGAAGGCTGGTCATGAAACGAAAGCATATCTTCCAAACTTGAGGATGTGAATAAGACCACCCAACAGCATTTCTAGACAGCGTTTGACCTGTTCTACAAGGAGAAGATGTTCTGTGGCCCTTTAACTTTGTGGATGAGCACAACGAAATGCCACCTAGTGATGCTTCTTCTGATCAGTACTCTTTTTTAATAAAAATAAATCTTTGAACATAATGTTCCAGTTGAATGCCAAACAAAAAAAAAATATGGAAAACATTTTGATAATTTTTTTTTTCCTGTTAAAATCATCAACATTGGCTGTGATGAAGATTCTTACATATATAAAAAAAGAAAACTCATACAACACACATTTGTATTGACTGAAGGACATACCATCATAAAATGCATGCTAGAATTCTTTGGAACAGTGAGCTCAGTTTCCTTATGTTGTCTTCAGAGTAGGCATGATGAACTCTAATTGTAGAAAGAGGGAATTTCTGTGCACTTACAACAAGCTGATTGTTCCTGTTCGATGGTGGGCTGTGGAAATTAACTCCCTTTAGAGATGGCAGTCTTTCTCACTGGGATGCTCATTAGTAAAGCTAAAGTGCTCAGATAGTTCAGTATTAATTATCGTTTCACCTTGCACCTAGATAACTGTTACAACTGCAATAATTCATTGTATAACTGTTGTATCAGGAATCAGGATTTTTTTGTTGTTGTACTTCTGATCTTCATAGATATGGTAAGAGCCACAGTCATAGAAAAAATTCTGATGTGGCCAAGTTTTAGGTAACTTTTTAAATCCCAAACTATTGTGCCATAAATGTTTTTAAGTAATCTCCTTCAGTCCGCTGTATTCCTGTGACTCTGTGCATCATCTCTTCCTGTATTTCTATAGAGCCTTTATATTGGGTTTATCGTCACCAACCGGACTAACTTTTGTAGTTCAAATGACTTTCATACTTTTGTACTTCTCAACACGTTACCTTGCACGTAGATTATCATCATCAATCCCCATGATCAAACAGGAAGGAAAAAAAAAGAAAGAAATTGATATCTATGAATTCTCTCTAACCTCTTTGCTGTTAGGGAAAAGCCCAGATATTGCTAGATGTTTCATGAAAAAGAGTTGGCTGGGACTCATATCACAGTATTGATGATCCCACAATCTTACTTGTATTATTTATTTTGCTTTAGGTCTCAGATGCATTTTGAGAATAATGAATGTGGATTGAAATGCAGAGATCAACTGGAGTGCTTTATGTAGCAATATTTGATGGAAGCCTGGTCTCCATACCATTCAGGAAGGCTGTCCAAGTTTATCTCAGAAAGTTGCCTATCTATTCCGGAAAGCAGTTTTCTGGGAGAACAGAAGTTTGAGGATGCCAAGTTGATCTCTAGGTACAATTACGTGAAAAGACTTTTCTACCTTTTCACCTCTAAAAAATGTATCAGCAGACATGTCTGCCCGTAACAGTGTAAAAAGTTTCACGTCAAATGAAAAGTTTTGTCCGTTCCAAACCACCACTGTAAGGAACAAAGTTTAGCTTCCATACATGGAAAGAATTAATAATGATTCCTCTATTATAGGGAATTTAAAATACCATAATTTTATCATAAAAAGGAAATGAATTGAACTCTTTTCAAGTAAAGCCAGAAATAATACTTGCTTCCCATTTCTAGAGTAGCTTCTAGAGCAGTGGTGTGCATACAGTAGATGCTTAATAAACATTTGCTGAATGAAAGTCAGATAAATTCAATTATCTCTTGGGAAGATCTGGCTTAATTACTAGTATATCTTTTTAAAAAGTTACTAATCTTCCAGCAGCGTGAGTATTAACAATGATTAACACCTGCCTCATGTTACTTTTTGCTTCTAGAGCAAATGTATAGTGAGACTTCTTTGATGGCATTTGTTGAAACACATTTTAAGGCTAGACTAAGAAAACCACAATGCAGGAATACTAAGGTGTTTTGATTTCCAATGAGAAGTTTTAATTTTCATGGTCTTACTATTAAATAAAAGAAAAAGCAGTTAGATTATTTCAATGAAGACTTTTGCTTCCTCTTTCAACTTGTCACTTACCCAAAATTATTCATTTCTTTAGAATTTTGAAAAAGAAAAAAAAAACATTTTGATGTTTTAGGTGATTTTAAAATATACTGTGTTGGTGGTGAATGATTATTGCTGACTGTTAAGTTCATCTGTATTGTAAGTGAAATGTAATTATTTCTGTGTACCATATGGAGTAACCAAGGTCATTGTTTCTGAACAATTTTGTTTGAAATTCATATATCTGATTTCAAAGAAGAGCATAATATCTGAATTATGCTGGAAAAAAAATAGACCTTTGGAGAATACTTAAATAAATCATGTGCATGCTTAAACAGGATGACATGGTTGGCTGTATGTTGCCCTTTTTTCTTAGATTTCCTGTCTTCCCCCAAATCTAGAAGCAAAGAAGCACCAAACACATAATACACATTTTGAGAAACCATGTGGATTACTCAGGTTTCTTTAGAGAAACATGGCCTGTGAGATGTATACTTTTATATGTGAAGGAGAGAGAAAAGGAAATTTACTTCTGGGGATTGGTTCACACCACTGTGGGGACTGGAAAGTACAAACTCCATAGGTCACACACGTGGCAGACCAAAGACTCCTGCAGACCTTTGTCTAAAGATTCCTAAGTCAGGTGATGGAAAGAGTGCAGAGTGAGAAGAGAGCTAGTTCAGCCAAAATATCTATTAATCCTCAGGAGGCATAAGGCATCCTAAGGAAACTTCCTTTTCAGCAGATTGATGGATTACATACATTATGGTAAGGATTCCTGGTGGCTCACAGTTAAGAACTCAGATAGTAACCACAGGTCAGTGGTTTAAACCTACCCAGCGGCTCCATAGGCGAAAAGACCTGCCAGTGTGCTCCTGTAAAGATTACAACCTAGTAATTCCTGTGGGGAAAGTCCAGTCAAGGGGGTTGCTATGAATGGAAAGCAATGTTTGCATGACATTGTATCATGAAACAGCAAGTGTTTGACCAAAGCCAAACCACTAAAGACCATAGCCTAGCCATGTTGACACATAAAATTAATCACCACACCTTATAACTCAGACAAACTCCAAGAATGTGATGAATTTCCATGCAACACCTAAATTTAGCCTGCATTAGTTAGAACGTAGCTTTTTGCTAACAATTGAGATTGTGGGCAGACTTTTATAGAAGTTTCTGTAGATTTTAATAAATAAGAGTGCCCAAAATAGTCATTTAAAAAAAAAAAATCTTAGCGACTGCAACTGAATAGCAACTAACTAAAATTTTAAATACATTGAGAGATTTTATTGGTCATTAAAATTCTGCTAAAATGAGCTGATTTGGTAGGTAATACTTTCAAATAGAATGCTCTCAGTAGTGTGTGGTCATTGTTGATTTGTTTGTGCCAACATACGAGTTGCCTCAAACACAATACGGCTCCCAGAGAGAAAATTAAGAGCCTTATACGTCTATTTTCTCTCCCTCTTTTTTGAAAAAAATATTTCAGTATGTAAAAAAAAAAAAAAAAAGTTACACGGCTTATTACACGCCCATTCACTAATTCACATACACAGTGTTCTGTGACGTTGGTTACAATCTCCACAATATGTTGGGACGCTCACCATCTGCCCTGTTTCCATCCATTCAATTTCCATGCCCCTCCTCGCCTTCTCACATTTGCTTTTGTGTAAATGTTGACGATTTGGTCACCCATCGTTGTTTTATTTAAGGGGTGCATTCCTCACAGAAGGTATTGTTTGTTTTTTAGGCCAAGCTATTATTTGGCTGGTGTGGCACTGTGGGCCTTCCTACTAGGGTGTGGGTTAATGTGCCAGACTGCAAAGCCATTTGAACTGCAAGGTCAGAGGTTCAACCTCACCAGCTGCACCTCGGAAACCCTATACAGGGTCGCTATGGGTCGGAACTGACTCGAAGGCACTTAACAAAAACAATTATTTGGTTGAAATGTGACCTTCTGTAACAGCTTCAGGTTAAAGGGATATCTTAGTGTAATTGTCTCATGGGTTCCTTTGGTCTCTGTCGGTCCAATAAATCTGGTCTTGACTACGAATTTGAATTTTGCTCTACATTTTTTTCTCTAACTCCAACTGGAATGTTCTATTGGGTCCCTGGTCAAAACAGTTGGTGGTGGTAGCTGGTCATCATCTAGTTCTTCGACTAGTAAAGGCTATGGTTCAAGTGGGCCATTAGTCTTGAGGACTAATTTCTTCCATGAGTCTATGTTTCCTTCACTCTTCTGCACTCCAGATGGGAAAAAACAAATAGTTTTATCTTAGGTGGCTATCTTCAAGTTTTTAAGATACCAGGTGTTACTCACCAAGCTAAGATGTAAAGCATTATCTTTATTAGCAAAGTTATGTCAACTGTCCTAGTTATCCCAAGAGACTATTGTCCTGAGCCTTCAAACCCAGTAAATTAATCCCATGATACATGCCTGACTGTGTCTATATGTAATTGTATGCATGAAAAGATATGCAGCACAGACAAACACATACAAACATTGTTGTTGTGTGCCATCAAGTTGGTTTCCACTCATAGGGACACTGTATAGGATTTCCAAGAGTTACTGGAGTTTTAACTGATGACCTTGCAGTTAGCAGTCCAGTGTTTATCCTACATATACCCACAAATGTAGCTATATTCATCTTCGTACCCTCCCATATACCTTCCCATGCCCAGATAGCGCATATATGATACCTATGTAAGCGCTTGCATATTTTTTGCTTATGATTACTGTTGCAAGGTTATATATGTTATAGTATTTACCACAGCGTTGTTAAATTCTATCAACTCAGTTCTGACTCATAGCAACCCTGTGTAGGGTTTCTGAAAAGCAGCTGGTGGGTTGGAACCATAGACCTGTGGTTAGCAGTCCAATGTGT